TCATTAAAATTCGTTCCCACTTACAACATGCGTAAATCTAAAAATTAAAAAGTATAATTTGGAATGATATATTATACGTGTTTATATTCAATAGCTTGACCAGGCGCTAAAAATAATAATCAGAATTACTAATGTTAGTATTTATAATTATATATATTAATTTAGTCTCACCTACGCTAAGAGTTAACGCAAAAGTTAAAAAGCTCGGCAAGACCCGTACAAATCCAAAACTTAAACCAAAAAAAAATTCTGATTATAAAACAAATTAATCTCGAAAATTTGCAATTATTATTGTTTAGAGATAAGTTTGGTCGGAGTTTGGCATTTTGGCGTGGACAATAATGAATACAATCCAAATTTTAAATATCGTCATGTGAAAAATACTTTTCACGTTTTTGATTGACATTAACAAATTTGGACACGATGAATGAATTTTTGAAACATTAAAAATTATCTCGGTAATTTGAATAGTGTTCAATTCCGATTATTCACCTCATTGTGAGAAACATTACGTTAGTGCATTATCTTGTTTGTATCGCAAGTGATGCTTAAATTTATTAGTTTATACATTGCTAAACAGGTTATGGAAGATCGACAATGTGAATAATAGAAAAAAGGATTCATACGTATCATTATATGCAGATACAGTATCAGGTATGTATATTTACTGTATTATAAGCGGTGCTCATGGACAGAAGGATTTAAATATCTATTTTAACTTGATATTGTAATTAATAATTAATATTAATTTTAAATGCTCGATTCATTCATGCTATTTTTAAATTTCATTTATTGTAGGCACGCTATTTACATGCTAAGATAACCTTAACTTTTATGTAATTTATAATAAGCAGCAAAATTAAGGTTCCTGGTTTATAAATTTCTCGATTAATAGGGAATTCTTCCATGCAATTATGAGAATTATGAGAAATCATATTTAAGATTAAATAAATAGAATTATGATGTTTTTATGTATTTGACGGGATTACGAATTTACTGAATGGGTCATGATTTCCTTCACCATTTTTTTAGTCATTAATGAGAAATTTTGTGCTTAAGAATGGATAATAAATACTGTTTTAAATATTGTATTTATTATTGAATTCTTTAATTATAAAAAACAACCCGATTCTTTGATATAAATATTAAAGTTACTATACTGTTCCGAGCAAGTTTCCCATAAAATGCGTATATATATATAACTCGGTGACAGTAGATTAAAATATAAACAAATAACGAAATACTTCTTAAACTTGAATAAAATACACGAACTACAAAGTAACGAACCATTGCCCATTTATTTTCCAACCTTAACACGTTTTTTTGATGGCGGCGCTGACTCTTCGTCTAAGAAAAATGATGTACTTAAATGTTAACATTTGATAATAAAAAAAATAGTATATTAATATGAATGGAATATCCAACCTTCGTCAGATTCTTCTTGAAAATCTTCTAAGTCAATTTCTCCTTCATCTATTTCATCCTCATCATCCTCGAAAGTAAAATAACTAGTTAAATTGAATATAACGATAAAATTATAAACTACTGTTTTGTGGACGTTGCAATAAGCAATTTTAAATTTATTAATTACATCCAAGCCTGAGGATATAGGTCGTCTCTAATTGATCTTCCCAACTCCCAAGCCAAATCATCCGTACTATGATCAGTAAACCATCGAATAAGACTTTGTTCTTCATCTTCGCCCCTACGTTTTTTCGTAAAATCCTTTATTGAATGGAAACCGGAAAGTTTGAATTATCTTATCTGCTAGTTAATGTAATCATAACCAAATAT